AAATATGTTTCTACTGTATGCATTTCATGACCTGTGATCCTAAATTAATTCAAATGCTAGCTACAGACTTATTTTTGTCTGCATTTATTTATATCTCTCTCTCTCCCAGGACCTTAATTAGAAGTTAAATAAAGTTAGCTTGATTTTAAATACATATTTTTTAGTCTAAAATATGTATGGAAGGTAAACATTTTTTTAAATAAAAGGTTAAGGCATGAAGAGAGGGAAATTAACAGCAACTGTTTGGAGGATTTTACTAAAGCAATAAAGATGTCCTGAAACCAACTCATTTTGAAGGTTGCCCTGATTTTTAAGTGTGAGAAAAGAATTACGCTTGAAACAACAAAGATATGGCATGTGAAAAAAATCTTCAGGAAAGAGAAACAACAAATAGAGTTAATGTGAAAGGCCATATCCAAGTATGTCTTATACAAAATCATTGAATAAATAACAGAATGAATAAAGACTAATTTAGGTTGTTCAAGGTAAGAATTGAGACATCCTTAGGGAGGGGTGTGGATATGTTCCTTGTCTTCACCAGTTTGTTAGACACATGGATGAGCTCAGTTTGAAAAAATCCTTGAGTTGTACACATTTGATTTGTGCAAGTTTCTGTATGTCTAATTCAGTGAAACCACATATTCACATAAATACATGCAGGTATGTGTAAACACACGCCTCTTTGCAAGTGCTTTTAGGGTGCAAAAAATTACATGCAAACATACATAAAATAAGATTATGAGACAAGTTATGTTAAGATGTATACTAAAAAAGGAAGCACAAAAGCCAATATACATGACATTCAGATGTCTTATAGTTAGAGGGAATTGAAGTCCAATTTATAATAAGGATTCTGAGTCAACAAAGAAAATAAATTTATCAAGCTCATGTACCATCTAGCATTTCTGTGGTATATTATTATCATGAGTCCTGGTCTGCAAGGAATGTTTTGAAGAAAGAGTTTGACTCCAAGCATTAACATATTTGGGGAGGATGGGGCCAAATGAAATGCAGGGACATCCTGAGCTGAACAGTAAGATTTAAAGCCACAATAGGAGAAGCCAAAGGAAGCAGACCACTCTACCAGTGCCTTTCCTATGGCCTTCTGCTTATACAGCTTGCATATAAGGGAGACAACTCTAACACCTTCCAACACTGCAGGATCTCTGATATTACCTACCTGAATGAAATTTCCTCTTTTCATCTCCTCAATAAACATAATTGAGAAAAGAATAAAATGCTGACCAAATGATCCCACTGGCTGCCTTTTATTTGTCTAGAATATTTTATGTGCAGGAACCATGCCTGGTTTATTTATCTATCAAGCCTGACTTACAATCATAGTGAACCCATCTGCATACTTTCTAGAACTGGCTAAGTTAATGACTCAAATATCAGAGTTAACAGCTGAAAGCAACACAAAATTCTAGCTGAAGTCTACATTGAACCTTTCAGAAACTATGCAGTTGCTAAAAGTTATGTTCACACTAAGATCGCAAAACTATTTCAGATATTTATTTTAAAATATTTCAAAAATATATAAGTACAACCTGCAAAGAATAGAAGCCATGGAAATATCAAAGTTTAGAAAGTTGTTAATGAGATTGACTAAATCAGAGAGCATGACATATTTACCCATTTAAACACTAAAGTTGGTTGTACATTAACTTAGCATTCTTGAAACCTACAATTAGACAAAGAGAGCACTCTACGTGGTGGAATATGTAAACATACAATAAGGAGGAATTTGAAGTTTCAGAAGGATAAATGAGTGTGCTATCATTTGAACTAGTATTTCAGTATGAAAAAGATAGAGAAATAGAGAATGTTAAGGAAGCTGAGCAGATAAGAACATTGGCATAAAATTATTTAGATATGGAAGAAGTAGGTACAATTTTTTGTGGTGTGTGTGTGTGTGTGTGTGTGTGTGTGTGTGTGTGTGTGTGTGTGTGTGCTTGTCTGTGTGTGTGAGCAAGCATGTACATGAGTGTGTATTCACTGCTGATCAAATCTAGGGCTGAAAGCCATTCCAGCCTCAAGTCTGTGCAATTCTGAGAACTCTGAACAAACTGGCATCTCTCAGTGGGATGGTAGAATAGACAGTTCTACTGCAGACAATGTGGACATCTTATCATATCTCTTTAATTAAAAGCTGAAATTTATCATACTTAATTTAAAAGTTAGTTCAAACTTCATTTTTGTAACTTTTCCAAAATTTAAATAAAATGCATTTTATGTATCTCTTTGTCTCATCTGTCTAAAGGATATTTTAAGTAAGTTAGAAGGTTTTTTTTTTCACAAGTTTATGCAAGGATATAGTAACAGTAAATTTTGTACTTAGTAATTATTCTCCCTCAAGACACACTTAATATTTATACCCAAGACAATCTTTTACTAAATGATTAAATTTGACAACAAAATCCATTAATCGAATATACACTTCAGAAAAAGTTACTTTTCATTTTTATTTCCTTTTAATATATTCATCTGCTTAACATATCCATATTATTAGCATCGTATCCTTATTATCACCATTTAACATGCTCTGGTTGGCATGATATTGCAACAGTTTATTATAAAGGAGCTGGGTAGTCTTGACCATCTGGCCAGATCATCCTAAACTTGTCTCTACGAGGATCAAGACATTTATTGTGGAATCTGAAAATGCAGTACACATAAGAGTCCAAAGGTGAATGGCCTCTGTTATTTCCAAGAACTTGGAAAGACTCCATTAAGAACTTACTCCAAGGATTTAGGTTAGTGCTGAAGGCAGACTCCCACAACAGCTTTGTCACTTTGTGTATACAGCCCACATATTTAAGTTGATTGAGAGTATCCACTATTAATAATTTTTGTAATAATTTCAAGATTGATGGATTATTTAGAAATGGTATTTATGAATGCACTAAAACAATTCAAGGAAAGCCTTATGTAGAACTAAACTAAAGTTAATGCTTCTGCTATATACATCATTTACCCCTAAACACTAAAATCTAGGATCCCTCATTCACTACACCTATTACAGAATCTATGCCATCTGATGTTTGATTACTTAACTGGAATAAATAACTACTTAGCCACTATGCTACTCATTGTAAACCATTCCAGAGGGAACATTACACCAACATAAAAAAATGTCTAAAATCTTCTTAGGTATAGCATTATTTAAACTTAATGGAAGTTTGTCAATTTTATAATAAAGACAGACACACAAGTAAACAATGTATCCAATTTTCAGCAAATGGATCCTTAATTTCAAAATTGTGTGTCTTTCAGCATCTGCTTTATCATAAGTCATCTTTTTAGCAACAGACAAACCAAGTCTCATGATATGTTCCTCCAGTATCCTTCAAAAGATTTGCTCATTGGACATATATGTTATGTCTTCTAATAATTTATACACCTATCATTAGCCTATAAGATATTGATTCTAATAGTCTATCTACAACATGCAAAGATAAACAAAATTTTAAATATTAAGAAGATAAAATGAGGCCAGTGGATCAAGGTGTTTGCCTTCTAAGGCTAGAGAGTTTCAATTAATCTCTGAACTAAGATAAAGCTGGAAGGAGGGAGCCAACTCCATAAAAATGGCCCTTTGTCCCTTATGCATATGTCATGACATATGTGTACTTCCTGCACAGTGTACACATAAGCAATAATAATTTTTAAAGCAGAAAAATGGTTGAAATAAGAACGTTTTTTGTGATTCAAAATAGAGATGACTCAAACTCTATTGTTTATGTTACATAGCTACCTCTGGGGATTACCCGCAGAGTAGTGGGCACTACATTCTGTTTGGGTTTAGTCTTCAATCTGTTTAGTTTTCTAGGTATTTTAATTTCTCCTTCTTTTAAATAACTCCTTAAGGAAACAATAAAAATTATCTCATAACAATCCTTATGACAAAGTGAACCTATACAATTATAAAATGCATTCAAAAAATTTATCATTTACTGATGCATTTCTTAATAACTAATCACCCTGGTAAGGTAGCAAGATGAAAATATGCAAAATAAATAGCAATTTATTTCTGAGACATCATTGTGATAGCGAACAAATGTTTAATGTCAGTATCTCTCTCTTTCACTCTCTAAATAGAGATATATGTATACATGTATATGTCTCTCTATATAACTAACTTGATTCATAAAGAACATTTATTATGACAAAATTTAAATTTTCTTTGCATGGCAATAACCTACCCCCTCAGAATCAAACATTTTCCCTCATCTCATGAAATTACATGATAGCTTTGTTTATATATTTTACATGGTAATAATTTAAATAATCAAACGTACTAAAGTCATTTCAAGTACTATATTGCACATTAGGATTTTCTGTGTTGCTTTCCCAGATCGAATAACCCTTAATTATTTTTTACTATGTTTTTATTAATGATCATATATTACATATTTATTTGATTATTTTATTTTTATTTGTGTGTATGCATGTGTTGACTTATCTGCATGTGCACCACATTTGTCCAGGTGTCAATGGAGGCCAGAAGAAAGGTCAGAGTCCTTGGAACTGAAGTTACAGGCAGTAGCTGGTGTTTTGTTCTCAAGCAGGTGCTAGGAACCCAACCTGGGTCCTCTGTAAGAGCATCAACTGCTCTAATCACTAGGCAGTATCTCTGGCACCTGACCCAGTTTTTTGTTTTTTCTATTATTCATTATAGTGAAAATTCTGGGAAGAAAATAAATTTTGTATCTTACACAACCAAACAATTTTTTAAAGAACACCATCAGAAAATAACACTAGGGAGGTTGCATCATTAAACTTATTAATGCTGAAGAGTTTTGTATTGCCAGGTGCCATGGTAGATATTATCGCACCACCACTCCAAAGACAGGAAGAACAATCTACAGTGGAAACTGTCAAATTTTTCTAAAACACACACCACTTTAAACTCTTAACCACCTCAGTCTATCAGGCAGATTTCTGATAAATTTTGATATATGTGCAAGGAAGAAGTATGAAGGCTCGAAGCACCATACCTTTGAGACATAATCTTATAGGCATCTGGCAGATAACATCGGATATTCTCCATCTGAGCAGGGTCAGAGTCACAGATCTTGTCATCTGTCCTCCCATAGTTGGCACTCTCAATCATGATGACGTCTGTGCCAGGGCAGCGGAGTTCAATGGGGTAGCTCTCACAGGAGAGCTCTCTTCGGACCACTGCCATGGGGATTGGGGCACGGCTGAAAGCTAGAGGAGGAGGTAGAAAAGACATCACCATCACTGCATATCCAAGGACATTACAAACAATTTTTCCCCTAGTATCTGTGTTAATTTGAACAAGGGCTAACATGGCTAAGGCTCATAATTTAAAGTAACACAGAATATTTCTGCTCTCAGTAATAACAAATCACAACCTCCCTCAATCTAACAATGACTTCTTAAATTCTAAGCGTCCACTAAGTTTGTTCTCATAAAAAGAAAGTACTCTGGATTTTTTTTTTTCAAAATGAAATTGATTTTTCAAGGGAAGCGTATGTCAAATATAAAGAACTGTTTTTAAAACATAAAAAAATATAGTCCACCAATACCATACTATTTTTCAAAATTAAACATAATCAACTCTTTTAAATTTAGCCAATATTATAAACAAACAATGGCATCAGGTGCTGATTTTCATTGTTTCTATAAAGGAAAATGCTTGCATTTTCTTGCCTGTATTATTTCCTTTTGTGAATTATTTGCCCAAGTTTGTACATGGTATATTGCAAAAAAACCTTGTAATATCATGAAAAATCCATATAAGTCCTCTACAACAGTCACAGGTGAATGTTCACACTCTCGCATTCCAAATGATTGGTGGACATATACACTTAATTTTTCCACAGAAGAATTCTGTTCATGTCAATTTTAACTTTTCCCTTTGCCTTGCCAGGATATTATTGGAATAAAGATAATGTTTAATTGTCATTAAAAACTGACCATGTCTTTCTTATAACATTTAATTAAAGTTATAGCTAAAGTATTTACCAATCATGAAATAAGTAGATTTTTAAAGAAGAGACATGGCCATGGGTAAACTTCAGGGACAGATTAAATTTACAAAGTTGGTTAATTCCCTAATGTGTGAACCCATAAAAATAATATTTACAATATACGGATTTTCTGTTGTTTTCCTAAGCATGAAATATGGACGAAAAGGCTGTTAGGAGATCCGGATCTGAAGAGAAGCAGCAGAGGAAGGTAAATGTTACAACTATTTTAACCTCAGAAATAGTGGTTGCTTTCAAAACATATCTACTCTTTCAAATTTTAGAATGATATAACTTTTATCTCATTTCTAGGTTTGGGTCATAGACTCTTTTTTTTAAAGTTTCCAAAAATTCAAATTATATATGTATATGTATATTTATATTTATATAAAAAGGGTCATAGACACTTTGTAAAACTTCCGAGCAGGTTATTTAAAGCATTTGTGGCTGTGGCTGGTGAGATGACTCAGAGGTCAGAGCACATAGTACTCTTGCAGAGGGGGCTCACAACTGCTTGTAACTCCAGATTCTGAGGATCTGACATCTTCTGGCCTTTTGGGGCATCTATTCTTATGTATATGTATCCAGACAGAGGAATAGATGTTTACATAATTAAAAATAATTTTATGAATCTTTAAAAGATAAGAAAAAGTACTTCTGGCTGCATTGTACACCTGGGTTCAGGAGGGCTGCCTTTCAAAGCTCCACTTACATTTTGTTTATGCTCTCTCTGTTTTCCTTCTTACATACACATGCACACACACACACATACAAGAATGTAGCATATTCATAATTCTGATCACAGACAATATGATTATCCTGATGTTAGCATCATGAGAGTCTGACTATAATGTTATTATTTTTTTAGTATGCTTTTGGTCAACATTTTGGCAGGGATTGACACAAAGGAGAAATTCAATAGCTACTCTTCTTAAAAGAAAACGCTCCTGTTTACCATCCAGAAATTTGCATACCTGCCTAAACATTCATACTTTTCTAATATTAAGATTCCGTCTTCAAGAATGAAGATTTTTTTCTTATTTGAATTTGAAAGTAAAGACATGACTGAATGATAAAAAAATGCTCCCCATTCATGAAGCCAGTTTCATGATTTTTGTATGTGAATGGAATGATATGTGTGCTCTTGTTTTCAGAAAATATATTTAAACACCTAAGATTTAGTATGCCTTAAAATAAATTTTGAACATTTGTTAAGAGTCAAGTTATTCCTTAACCCTGGCACAGCTATTTAAGGAGAATTATTTTGTAGACTTTATGAATGCTGTGTTTATCTTGGCTAATATTATATTGATTTAATCAATTCAGTTGAAATCAAGTTAATTTAACACAGAAACAACACATAAACAAGGCACACCAACAGAGCCCGTGTTGGACTAAGTGAACAATTGGCTGATTAAACTCATCAGTCATTTTTGTCCAAACATTGACATAGCTTAATCTGGGTTGTCACTGTCAAAAATATCATTAAGAACCAAACACTAGACAGATGTAAAGTCAACTAAAATGTCTAGGCCCAAATTTTCCCTGTTTCTACTTTTGACCTATAAAGATTCTGTCTCTCTCACATTCTGTCTCCCCCCCACCCCGTGTCCGTGTGTGTGTGTGTGTGTGTGTGTGTGTGTGTGTGTGTGTGATTTTGTGCAAAGCTCTAAGTTAAATTTGTAGAAACTTTCTTCCTTTTAACATATAATTCATCCATTTCAGTAACACAGTGACAAAATGCACAAATGATGTACACATTGTTTAAAGAAATGCATTTCTGGAGACTATAACCTCACCTAGTTAGTTATTCAAATGAATTCTTAGTGTAATGCTAAATATCTTCACAAACAGACATTTAAAAAAATACTTCTGGATGCATTAAGCTCCTAATTCCATGAGAGCTGCTTTAAAGTTTTTTTGTTTATTTTTTCCTTATTTTCCTTCTCTTTTAGACTTAGACACACACTAATTTACAAAGAGGGAGAATGATTAGTTAAAAAAAATCAGAAAAAAAACAGGTTTTCTTTTTTGCTCCTTTTTAATTATTATGCTACCAATAGAAAGGATTTGATTACAAAATACTAAGAGAAGGACAACCCCAATAACCAAAGGGTAGGAAATGAAATTGTATATTATCATATACACGTATTTATTTATTTCAGTTTACCACTACTTTGAGTATTGTGAAGTGGCAAGCAGACATGGGCCAGGGGAAGCTCATGTATGTTCTCTTTAACTTGTTTCCATTTGTACTCCCTGAGGCAAATCTGTTTCAGTAAGAGACACACTGTAATCTGTTACATGTTTATGTACTTGCTGAACAAACTGGAAAGTGTGGATGTGAAATCTGGTGACCTCTGCTCAAATGCTGTCCTTTAGTGTTAGGCACTGGTTCTGAAACTGACTGGGGTAATATAGGGAATATGAACCAGTTAAACTAGTTTACAAAAGATAGCCAGCAATAAATAGGTTAGTAGAGAATACTACACAAAATAATACAAAAAGTTCAGCTTTACACACACTGAATGCAAGCTGTCAGAATAACAGCTGCATATACACAACTGTTGGATCAAAAGTTTAGAATTCGGGAACAATATATAAACTAAAACCAAGGTAACATGGAAATAGCACAGGAGTGCACTATTGAGTAAGAGCATAGCATGGAAACAGCAAAGTTGGAGTTAGCAGTGGTCACCGAGGATTGGAAGGAATCTGCTACTTTTTCAGTGGAGAAATAAAAGAGTACTGTCTGTTCTAGTACTATATAGACTATGTGAACTAACCACTTGCAATGACATTGAGGGGTAGGATCTTAAATAATTACAGAAGAGGTGAATGAAACACCTTATTTCTTCTCCATGGGCAATTATATGATGAAATAAAAATTGGTTGTAAATGTAAACATAACTGTCAATAAAGCAGATAGGATCTTATTCTGTGCTATTTGTTGTAACAGAAAAAGAAACAGTTTAACAGTCCACATTTGTATTTGTTTTTCATTACCTCCTTTATGGTGTTTACCCCTTTATGCTTTGTTTATAGATTTACAAAAATAAATACATCTCTGAAAGATTTCTTTTGGTAGGAATGCAGAAGAAATGCAGATTAGAAGGCTACATTGTAGTAGTTAAATGAGGAAAGATCATTCATTTAAAAGGTTGATGTTAAAAAACATATTGGGTCTCCGTTAAAGAACAAAGCAGTCTTAGGGCTTGTTGGTTAAAGTCACAGGGTAAGAGACAGAGAAACAAATGACAGCTGGGATTCTGTCATAGACAAAGGGCTTGATATATGCTGCAGTGAGGAAAATCTGGTAGAAACTGAATATACAGCGATCTGTATAAATGTCAGGACAGTACATAAGATAATCTGGACAGGGAGTATAAGTTGTTCTGTTGCTGTCAAAGAGCATTAAGCAGTAGTTTTTTTCATATGTCTATGAGTCTTTGCTACTCTTCCACTCCATTCTCCTTGTCTCTGGCTACATTTAGTGACTCACTTCTGATGGATATGGTGTGGAAGCAATGACTGCAGGCTTTCCTGGAGTAGTTCATTGAAATCACAGGATAAATTCCCTGTATAGTTAGTTACCTAAATTGGTGGCACTCAGTCAGCCCAATGGAGTGGAGGAAGGATCTGAGGAACAGAGGACCCTGCTGACAGCTATAGGAACTTACAAGGCATCAGTGAGGGAGCCTGCAAGTCCCAACACCAACAGACTGCCCTCGTTTAACTGCAACACTATCAGAGTCTTTCAGTCACTTGCATCTAATGAAACTATTCCCAGATTCCTAATCCACAGAAATTGTCAAATATTGAATGTTTTGGTTTTAATTGACTTGAGTTTGTAGCAACAGGGCAAAGCTCAGAGCTAGGCCTGAAGGAATATTTAGAAGTGACATTGAAACTACTGGATATTGAATAATTATCAACCCAATGAAAGAATAACCCATGCAGGTTAACTAATATTATTATCCCTGTATAAAATCTATATGGAAACAACACTAAGTAGATGATAAAAATGGATTTCTAACTTTCATCCCAATAATTATAAGGGGAAAAATGATCCTTTGCAAGTTAAAAGATAAAAATGATGTACTTCCAGTGATTTATGAGGAAGAAGTTAATTAACTCCTTGTACATGAAGACTAAGGACTATTTAATGTGTTTCTTAATTACAAATGGGGGTATGGTGCTAAAAGAGATGTGTTTCTA